ATCCTTGGGACTGCTCAGAACTAGACAGGACAAGGCTTCAAGTACCCTGCGCTGCTTGGCCCCACTCTGCGCAGGGGGATAGTGATGATGAAAACCCGTGGTCCTTCCCAGCCTGTATTATGCTGTGATCCTGTATCTGTATGCCATCTGGATTCAAAATGTGATTGGCTTTTTGTTGGTTTTGAAAGCAAATCAGGAGTACAGTTGCTTTCCTAGATATGTAAGATAATCAAGAAGTACTACCATGAAGAGCAAGGGGAAGGAAAAACATTCCTTTCAAGATCACAGAGACAATATTTGCTTTGCTTAAAATTGTAGTTAGCTCTTAATTGCCCTTATGGAGCATTACCTTGAAATTTCTTGCATAATCTGTGGTGTGCAAATCAGTGTGTATGTTTCAGAAGGTCAGAAGTTTGGTTGAAGCAATGCAAAGTTCCAGAACATTAGTTATTTCAAACTTCAGATTAAATTATGGAGCTGTCCCCTCTGGCTAAGAAATCATTTTCTTTGATATAAGTCATGTATGGCAACTTTTCAGTTAGTCCACAGTGATTTTTTTCTGTAAGAGTTATACTTATTTCCATTTATGAAAACCTGACATGACGACAGGAAACAGTTCTCTGAATAAGTGAGTTTCAAACAGAAGGTTTTCAAAACAAGTGACTTTAAGATAATTCCTTTCAGACAAAGAACCTTAATATAATAATAAAAATGATGAAAGTTTTAGTTGCATATGCAGTAGGAAAAAACTAGGTGGAATAAAATTAAAATGATAAACCATCACATAATTTTAAAATAGGGAAGAACAGACAAGAACCACAAAAGACACACTGATTTAGAACTGTGGTTTTCAGCCAGTAGTCTGCAGCTCTGTCTGGTCTCTGAACTATTTTTGAGCAGTCTGTGAAGGGAGACTGGGGAAATGTGCTCATGTGCACTTGAAAAAGTTAGACTCCTGGGCTGGAGAAAACATATCTAGAAGAGTGAGGTATGTATGAAGAGTGAGGAAAAGGCCATTGCGTATGTTGGGAGAACCGGGTGCAGTGTGTGCTGCAGAAGCAGCCAGGCCCACCTTTCCAGACGCTGTGCACTCCTGCTAGCACGAGAGTGCAGCATGAGCTGGGAAGGCTGAAGTCAAGCAGTCATGGTAGGTGTCAGGGCTTTCTAGCATGGATGCCATACTGTGCAAATGCAGCTCTTCTGCCTGCGGATCCGGGGCAGGATGTAGCGTCCTATCATGCTGTATGATCTTCCTGGCTCTGCTTGGAAGCCGTTGAGTGATGTCTACAGTCTGCTTTATTGTATAGTGTAAATACAGAGATTGGAGGGGTCATCATCTTGGTAACATACCCTTGAAAAAGAGGCAAATAATGGTAGGCTTTGTGGATGCATTTAGATGAGGCATTCAAAATAGTCAGATTTCTCCTGCTTCAGGGCTTCAAAACTAACAAGCTTGTTTTATGATTAATGCCAATTCCTGTGCAAGTTGCACAGATGTCTGTCACATGAGATGTGTCAGAAGATGCTCTCTTCTCCTCCTTGACTTTAGCCCTCTCTGAACTTTGTAGTTCATAGGGTTTTCTCTTCTGGAATAGAAGAAGTCATTACAAGCACCTGCTCTTGGCAAATTTTAAATAATTTGTCTTGACATCTTTTCTTGTTGCTGTCAAACTGTCTTTCGTGAAACTGAATTTAGGCTCAGGGAACTGAATAGCCCCCCATGAGGAAGGGAAAGAAGGAATGTCCTGGTGTTTGAGATACGGAGCAAAACTACACTCTAGTTAATCAGACTATCATCTGTATCCTCACATGAACTGTAAAGAAAATTTTGTCCAAAGAATTTCTAAGGTAAGTTCTGAAATGACACAGTCCTTGGATGATCAGAGGTGAATTGTTACTCTAAATGCCTATGAAACAAGTCTCCAGTGACATTTTTAAGATTTGTATGACACAGCCTGGAGAAGGAAATATAAGCTTCTAAATGTGTTACATAAGACTTAGAGCAGGATTTAGAGCAAGCCAACTGAGTTCAGCTATAGCGTATGAACATGAGTTTTCATTTTTTAAACATGTTGTTACTTCCTGTGAGTGGTTCAGGTTGCAAACATCTCCACATACTCTAGAAAGGAATGCGCTGGGAATGAAAGGTCTCTTGGCAAAAGTGTTGTAAAATATCCTCAGCAGAGATTCTTGATCGAAGGTCAACAGATCCCTCAACTGCCATGTCTGTGGAGGACAGGTCGCTTCATTTTAGGGAAGGAAAAGAGGGGAAAAAAAAAGAAGAAAGAGAGGCAGGTTTGCAGGATAGCAGAGCTGTGTGGTAAGAGATGCTAAGCGAGTGTAGCTGTAGGATGAGGCCTGCTCCTGGGATAAGCCGTTACTGTCATACTGTTACTGTCATACCGTGACTAATTGCTGAAGAAAGTAGTGTCCTCCGGGACAAAATAGTGTCAGGTTCGTGAGCAGAGGAGTCGAGGCAATGGAGGAGGGAAAGAGGAGCATGCAAGGCTAGGAGGAAGGAGGGGTGTAGTAAAGCCCAGCCATGTGAAGGGGAAGGCAGAAGGAGCACCAGTTCTTGGCAGTTCTTGTAGATAAATTCTGAATTCTTCCTACTGCCTGTCAGAGAAAAGCTCAACCGCAGAATGAAAGTGCAAGTTGATTGTTGTCAAACAGTTTATTCAAAATACTGCCTTGTTTGTGGTGGAAACAAGCACACAGTGCCTTGCGATGCCATTACTGTGTTCACAAGAATTGGTGCTGTATTCTGTGTGCTTTCTGTTTGCTCTGTATCCAGCACGTGAAGTCTTCTGTTCATTTTCTTAAATGCTGTGTTCATTCAGGACTATTGTAGGCTGAATTTCAAGGTTGGCCAAAGTATGGGAGAAATGGTGAATTTTGTAAAAGCTTGATAGTGAAACCTTCTGATTGTTTAGGACATTTTGACCCCATTGCAACTTCACTGTAGTAGGGGAGGTTACACAGTAAGGGTATTTCTGAGGGAGAATATGATAAGTCTTATATGTTCTTAAGACTTATTTTTGTTACGGTTGTTTGATGCCGAGGGAGTTTACTGTGTGATAGAACTTGACCAATATTTTCTTCCTCTAGGATTTTGGGGACCTCTGAGGCTTTCGAAAGTGTTTTCCCAATATAGACAAAAGTTTTGTGAAGAAGTAGAAAACAATCCATTTAAAAAAAAATCTATTTGTCTCTTTGTCCAGCTGTGTTGTTTTCTTCCCTTCAGAAATGTGTATGTTTGAAGAGATGTGGATGCTGATTAAGCAAGTGGTATGTGTGGTGTTTCTATGGAAACCAAAATAATGATATAGAAAGACTAAACGTAGAAAAATGAAAATGCTCTGGAGACTTGGTGTTTATACATGACTTTCCTTTTTCTTCTATAACTTAATATACCTAGTGTCTAAATCCTATTTTGACATATTGCTGTAGCCCTCATAAGGGTTAATGCCAAAAATAAACCTGACAAAGTAAAACGAGTATATTGATGAGTGTATAAATGTCTGTTTTAATGTTATGGATATGAATAATTTTGCTTGTAGTTCAGTTGTCCTTTTTGTATGTCCAAATAGTGCACAAGGAGAGACTTCACCTATTATTTTATGTAGTACAAAATCCCCACTAAAAATAATACTCAGGTAAGAATCTGTACCTATAAAACCTAGGTGGAAAGAGATTCTATTTTAGGTGGCAAGGCCATTCCTTTGTTATGCTCTTCTGTACCTACTGAGAGGATACAGTCAAATCCATACAGACTGTTAAGTTGTAGTTACTCGGTGATACTCAAAGAAACAAGATTATTTATTTTGCTGAGTGAGTTTTCTCTAGTGAATGGCCTTTATGTGCTACTTTAATGTGCCTTCATCTCTGTATCCATAGTAACTTTTCAATAAAATAAAAACTAACTGTAAGGTGCAAAGAACCTATAAAAATGCCCTCAAATTGCGTTTTGCCTATTGCAGTGCATTTATGTTAGAAATCAAAATCTTGGTGAACTTTTTTTTTTATTTCACCCCTCAAGAAAAATACTTCTGAAAAGAGTATGACAATTGCCCAGAAAGGAGAGCTGCTGCATCTGGCCAAGACTGACATAAATAGACTGACAGACATATTCTTTAACCAAAAAAAAAAAAAAAAAGAGGGCAGGGGAAAGGAAGGTGAGGACTTTTTGTTTCTTTTAAGAAAAAGGAAACTTCACTCCTCTAGAAACTTGAAAGATAACGAGAGGCTGTGAACTTCTGCTAAGTACATCAGAAAGGGCAGTGAAGGAGTGGGAGCATGATTTTTCCATTGAGGTTCTTTTCGTTTATTAGTTTTTGCATTAGTTTGCTATTAAATTTAAGGCTGATTAATGTCTTGATCTGCCAGTTCCTCCTCACATTTCTAGACCTTTCTTTTTCTTTTTTTCTGTAGTATTCAAACAGTTTTCTTTCTTACCTGATCTTCATTCACTATCTTTCCTTTGAACCTTATCATTCAGAAAGCATCCTCCTGTCGTGCCCTTTCTTTTCCCTATGCGTGCTTTGGTTCTGCTACTCTTCCTATTTATTACTGAATTGAGAATCTGGGTAAAAATTCAAATTTCTGTTCTATGTTTTTAATGATCATTATTAGGGTAAAAAAAATCAATGTTAAAATTTAGGCAGACTTTGATAGGGTATAACATCTTCAAGAAAGAATGTTCATTTCTGTTCTTGCAAATGTTGACTTGCAGTTCCATCTGTAAATAATAATTCTCTTGTCTTGTGGAAAGCAAATGATGGAAGTTGTAGCAATATGCATTTTTGCTTATATAGTCTTAATTTGTCTCGCTTCAGTAGAAAATAGTGTGTATAGCTCGTTGCACAAATCAATATGTAGAAAGAGCAGAAAAAGAGAAAAACAGAATTGAATTCAATCTACAGTTTGTGTTAACCTTCTTTCTTATTAGCACACCAGTTGTTTAAATATTCTGTCTGTGCTTATTTTGATTCTTGTTACAGGCAGATGCAATGGAAACCAGAATCACCTGCAGTTACCTATGCAACATATCGAGGTTCTGCAAGAATTAGACAACTACTGAAAAAACAGTC